CTAACTTTGTCCCAAAGTCAGCAGGAAGTAGCATGAGAAAGAATTTGCCGCCCATTTTCCCTGGTTAAAATGCTAAGTCAGAAGGAACTCCCTTGCATGGGGATGCCAATATCTCTCACTCCCTGATGGGGGCACTAGAGAGACAGCAATTCCATGATTGGAATTTCCAAAAAAGAAAATGGGGGAATGAAGGGACCAGCTCCCCATTTCGGCAGCCATAACAGCTGAACACGTGCTTGTCTGACCTTGTCCTAGTCACTAAGGTCAGATGCCTCGTGACAAGGAGCCAATCAGAAGTTAGCTGGTGGCGCTATACTTTACGACTCTGGGTGTGCTTTACAGACAAGGGCAACAACAATGACACACAGAGCATAGCAACCACCCTGGGAGGGCCTATGGGCCATAACAACCAGTTGACCAATCAACACAGGGCAAGCCCTCCAAGCCTGGAGGCACACCAATCCTGAGCCTGTGCGTACTCCTAGACACTCCCCTTATGCTGCCCTACAAGATCTCTCAGCAGCCGGTGCCAGCTGTCTTTGCTAGCCATCTGCCATAGCGGGAGGGTGAAAGACCCAAGCTAACATGGGGTTAGCTCGTTAAACAACAATAAAGCCTCATGCAAGTTTTCGAATCTGCCTGGTGATTGGGGTGACCGAGGTCCTGGGCTGGGACCCCGTATACCTGAGTTTTCCAGGGGTCTAACAATGGGTCATGGTTATAGAGCCCATAGAACCAGGGGACGCAAAAGTGGAGTCAGCCTTACCGTCCAGAGCAGAACACAGAAGAGCCATTTTAGCCAAGGGCAGATAGGCTTTTCTCAGATACTGTCTAGTGTTTTCTTCAAACCCAGTGTTTTTTTTTTTATTTTGTTTTGTTTTTGTTTTTTTAAAGTAATATTCAAGCACTAGCATCTCAGTTTCAGAAATGCCTGCTGGGTATGCTTTTCCATCCCCCCTCCTGCCCGTCTGTCCTCTGAACCATGTCTGGGGCCAGGGATTTATTCATGTGGTAGCCTTGAATATGGTAGAGTGGGTTTGGGGAGACATTTTCTTGTAGGCTCTCCCTCTCTCCTCTCTCTTCCTCCCTCCTTTCTTTCCTTCCTTTCTATCTTTCTTTCTCTCTTTATCCCCCAGCCCAAGTCTCAGTCTGTAACCCAGAATGGCCTGGAACTTATGGAAATCCTCCTTCCTCCGTGTCCCCAGTGCTGGAATTTATAAGCATGATTGGGTCATTTTCTTCTGCTCTTATGTGTTTCTTGGCATGGATGGTATGGGAGGCAGTGATTCAGCATGGTTTGTGTTCTTTTGTAGAAGAAAAAGCCCTGCTTTTTAGTTGAATATTGACTAGATCCCATCTACAGCCTGCTGTGGCCCATGGTTACAGGTTTCATAATGTGTCCTTCATTTTCCACATGCAGCTGGAATTCAGACATAACAGCAAGCCTTCTTGGACATGCAGATGAATGTAACACCACAGGACTGTCTTGCCTGGTTCTTGGACGGCCTCATGGGGTAATGACTGTCTTATCAGCCTTGGCTGCCTACCCTAGGCTGTTCACAGGAGAAAATGAATTTAGATTTGCTTAAGGCAGAGTAAGTTAAAGTAACAGCATGTGATAAAGACAAGAACTTGTTCAATAGGGGCCAGAAAAGATGCTAAGCAGCAGCTGCAAGCATCAGCACCATCTCTGAAAGGACAAGGATGTAGCCAAGCCTGAATAGAGAGTGCAAGCCCTCCTCTGTGAGGTACAACACCCAGAAATGCACCAGGAAAAAGCAAATACCCTGGAAGTGATTACAACTCTAACTCAGTAGATTTTTTTTTTCTGACCTCTGGGTCAGTTTGATGTTTAGTGAGATTCAGATTTTTTAGAAGTAAAGATTACCAAACATACTTCCTGATTGTTTAAAAGAAGGTACCAAGGCTGGGGAGATGGCTCCTTAGTAAAGCACTTGCCATTCAAGCCTGAGTGCCTGAGTGCAGGCCCCTCGGAGTTACATTAAAAAGAAAAAAGAGAAAAAGCCAGGCATACATTTGTAACTCCAATACTGTGGAGGAGGAGACAGGGGATCCCTGGGGCATGTTGGCCAGCCCAGCTAGCCAAATCAGTGAGCTCCAGGTTTTAGAGACCTTGCATCCAAAACCAGAAGGTGGAGAGTGTTTGGAGAAGGTACCTGGTGTCATCCATACACTTGTTCATGTACATAAACACTACAACATGCACAAAACAGAAAAACATATAAAACAGTACACCATGGAACACAATACTTGCTAGGGTGAGAAATTAATTTGTAAATTCAGAGATGTGTGTTAACTCAAAAGGGCTGAACTCCAGGCACTGAACTCTACACAAATGACAGACACAGGGAGAGGGACACAACTCTATTTCTACCTCCCAGAGCCCGTAGGAATTACTAAGTGCTATTCCGTAGATGCTGCGATGTATGGAAACAGAGGTTATCAGAATTCCAGCAGACCCTTAGGGTCTACAATAATCCTTGTCCTCATGCCAAGCACTTTCGGTTTCTATACATCACAAAAGTTAAATTCTCTAGGCAAAAGTGAAGCAGCTTTTGTGTTAGGCTGTATTTCTCCATTCATCAATGGAATCGGAACTCTTCAGAGCCACCCACACCATGACTGATGTAGGGGGTTTTGGCCAGTGCCTAGGGTTCACTGGGTATGTGCCCAGCACCCTCCCACTCAGTATGCATCTGGAAGCTCTCCTTTGCTTTCAGCCCAGCATGTCTGTGGGCCAGGAAGGGCCAGAGTCTGTGCTGGAAGCACAGGGGTGCATATCAATCACTCTGCTGGCCACTGGCACAGACACACCGTCCCTTTATCCAGTCACCACGCAGGCCTTCCTTTCCTGGGCCAGAAAGGAGAGTGCTTTAGCACATTGATGGCCGTATTCAGTTCAAAGAGAACTGACATTTGTGGAGTATTTAACAGTTCATGGTCTCCTAGATCATTTGTTTTTTTTATGTCCTAAGCACTGCATTTGTAAGTCTGGCTTATACCGCTGTATTCTGACCCTTCAACCACATCTTTACTAATCAGCAAACATGTGTGGGACTTCTGCCCGGTATCCAGGAGGAATCCTCACCTCTGAAGACTCTCATCGTGATGTTGTTGGATGCTGCCACTATGCAAAAACATTGGGACCTCCCTCCTATGTAGAGCTCTACCCTATGAGAGCGTTTCTTTGCACAAATTTCCTATCTGTTTAAATATCACTTTTTTTTTGGAGACAGAGTCTTACTGTATAGACTAGAGTGGCTTAGAACTTGTTTTGTAGACCAGGCTGTCCTTGAGTTCACAGAGATCCACCTACCTCTGCCTCACAAATGGTGGGATTAAAGGCATGTGTCACCAAGTGCAGCCTGAATTTCATTTTTAATGCTACAAATTGAGATTCAGAAGAGTATCCTTAGTACACATTTGGTATCCCTGCCCCCTTCCTTCAGGACTGGGATTAACACGGGAACTGTGCATGTTAGGCAAGCATGCTACTGCTGTGCCCTACCCTAGAGCAGCAGTTCTCAACCTGTGGATCACAACCCCTTTGGCGGTCCAGGGGTCACAATTCAGATAGCCTGCTTATCAGATATTTACATGCCAGCCTGTTCTACAGAGCTAGTTCCAGGACTGGCTCCGTAGCTACTCAGAAACATTGCTGTTAATAATAGTAGCAAGATTATACTTATCAAGTAGCAAGGAAATAACTTTAGGGGGGAGGGCACCACAGCATGAGGAAGTGTGTTACAGGGTCACAGCATTAGGAAGGCTGAGGACCACTGCTGTAGAGCAGTTTTGTTTTTCCTAGCCAACCATCTTTCTGCATATCCTTAAGATATTCTATTCTTACTTCTGTTTTTGTACCCACTGACCTCACCACCCTTTTGGTTATGATGGAAGCAAAGACCCTCATGAACGAATGAATCTGTCCGTGAACTATTGGCTTTTGCATGACATCACTGTGATCGTTTCAAGTTCATGCAGTGTGACTTCTCTGCATGGAAACTGGACACAAACTTGTGCCCACCACAGGACCTTGCGTAACCCCAGCATTATTTGGTTCTCAACTTCTGCCCTGGCCCCTGAGCCACTCACCAGCCATGGAGGAGATGACAACAATGCTGCCGTTACTCTGCTTCAGCATGGGTAAGGCAGCCACGCTCATGACCACATAGCTGATGAAGTTGACCTCCATGGCTTTGCGCACAGCATGGATATCATCTTGGAAGAAACCCATATTGGTGTAAGTGATGTGGTTGAGAATGAGCATGTCCAGTCCGCCTGCAAAGAGATGCTGTGTTGAGAGAGACCACTCAGAGCCAATCCTGTTCCCCTCTGACCCGCCCTGCCCCTCCAAAGCTCTAAGCCCAGAGGAGGAAAAGGGAGGGGAGCCTTACCCATGAGCTTTCCTGCTTTAAGAACAAATTGCTCCGCAAACGTCATATCTTCCATGGTGCCAGCAATGTAGTGAGCAGAGGCTGCTCCGAGTTCAAGGCAGCGGGATACCACCTGCAGAGACACAGCAGAAATGGTGGCCATCTTGGCTGTGGGCTTTCATGTGTAGTTAGGGGGTAACTGGGGCTTAAATGAGAGTTTGTTCACAGAACTGTTTAGATTAGAAACTCCGTGTGTGTGTGTGTGTGTGTGTGTGTGTGTGTGTGTGTGTGTGTGTGTACATAAAAGCAGCAGTTTTATATTCCTGTATTTGTGCCTGCATATGAGAGTGCAGGCCATGGGGGAGGGAAGCAAGCCTTTGTGTATATGTGTAAGACTATAAGCTGGGCACAGGAAGGCACACCTATCTGTGGATACAGAACATTTACCTTCTGGAGACCTTCCTCTGATCTTGCAGTCAATACCACATGGGCTCCCATTTCTGACAGATGATATGCCATTTCTCTTCCGATCCCTTTGCTGGCCCCCGTGACAATCACTTTCTTCCCTTGGAGCATTTCTGGGAACCACAAAAGCTATGAGTACCCCCAAAGCCCTGCTTCACCAGCCATACTTAAAACTTGTGAACCCAGATCAGTTTGCATCATGTTGTAACCCACTGGAGTGACATTTGGAGTTGTTCATAAACAGGCTCTTAAGATGGGTTTGGCCTTTCTGCCATCATTCCAAAAAACAAAAAATAAAAAACCTCCATGTGTAGAGATCACAGAGACAAGGCCAATTTGGCTAAACTGCCCAAGTTCAACACTTTTGGCATGATCTAATTTTGCTAAATTGAAAGGGAATTTTAAAAGGCACCACAGAATGAGTTCAGAGAGGTATCAACCCTTCTACTTGGTCATCAGCATCATAGCCCTTTTTAATTTTTATTTTGGCCTCTCAACCATCAGTCTCTCCATTGGAGCACAGCTACCTGGTTGAGCCATGGGTCTGGGTATCACTTTCTCTTCTGTAGAACTGAAATTTCTTTCTATGCTGGGTGCCGACCAAAGCATGGCCAACTTGGTTATGTGGCTTACCCCTCTCTGTCTCCTCCTGCCCATAGCTTGTAGCTGGAGGATACAGAGTTACAGACCCACATTAGGGTTCTCTCTTTCTCAGTGACTTAGGGATCAAGAGCATAGC